ATACAGTGCATCACAAGCCGCAGTCAACACCTTAATGGAAGTGACCAAGAGGTCTTATTGGATGTACTTTTACTCTAAATTGATGTTTTTGTTCAATATCTGGGTAGGCCCGCTCAGAGCACTGGATTTGACAGATTTTAGAAATGCTGAATATATACAGATATGAGCACTCAAATGGCACACTTCTGCCCAACTTTCCAAACAATACAATCAACCACATCTCATGGGTTTTTATTGTCATGCGGCACAACAACTTTCCCACATTACCCCTCATCTAACTCCATAAAATTCACTCACCCTCCTACACAGACTGATACAACGGGCTCCATAAGTATTGGAATTGCAACAACATTTGATGTTTTGGTTCGGTACTCTTGATGCTCTGGATGTGAAAAGACACAATGACTATGAGATTTAAAGGAAAAATCCGCCCACGGATCCTCCCACACTGTTAGATATCCGACATCAATCTGTGATGTTCAGTGCATTTCAGGAGTTATTGTATAACGAAGGGCTGCCATTTATTTTTTTTTGTCTGTCAGCCTCCCTCGTCTAGTTCCACCTCAGGTAGTGATATCCTACATTTCCCAGAAATGTTACACTCCTTCAAAAAAAATCCAACAAGTCTGCAGCTGCATTGCATTCTGGTCTACTCGAGCTATTGTAGGTAGAAATATAGTTATTTCTGCCTTTTCTACAATGAGTCATCAAGAGGGGAAAAAAAAAGACTGCTGCTTTAATTCGAGGCTCTTTTCAAGGATATTGAATGAACAAATAAAGAACAGCAGGGTGTCTCAAATACATAGAAAGTTCAACATTACTGTCAATAAAATTATCATTTTTAGTTTGCAATCATCTTGACAGTCGGTCTGTATGTGAATGCAGACAGTTGAGATTAAGGGGTGCAGTACTGTGGACTTAAAATGCCGTCAAATTAAGTGTTATAACCTGTTAGTCACTGTATTATCTCACATTACTGCTTTTATAGTATGTAGCAACTAGGAGGTGGAAAATCTGGCTTCTTAAACATGTTTTAATGCTAATGGATGATCAGTTTGGCAACATGGTGGCACGTCTGGCTAACTAGGTAATTACCAAGCGTTGCTTCCAAGGCTGTTATGCTACATTCACAAGTAGAACATCTACTGAATGCATGGGACGGTATGAAAATTTCATGATTAATGATTGCCATACACAATATTATCACAATAATGATGAAAATACAGACTTTTGGCAATAAAAACACATATTTATTGCATCACAGATTGGCACCTCATCTCTCTGTTCCACATTTTGGAAACTATACTATTTCCACACATCCGGTTCAAATTTTTTGAGGGGGAAACAACGGGTAAAGCCGAGCCTTCAGTCATGGTGATTACGATTTTAGAATGACTGGCAAGAGGTGGGCTCCCCCTTTCCCGAGAAGATAAATCCTCTTCCCATCCTTTTCCTCATCATAGTTATGATTCCTGGACCAACTAGCTCTTTGATGCAGTACAAGGACTAATAATACTCCTTCTTTAACGATACGTGTGTCCTCCATGGATCTTTAACTTGTGAGGATGCTGGCTTTCTTCCCCACGTCCTGAGTGAACTGGAACAGGAAAATTAAGTTAAAAAGTCAGCTGCCATGTGCCTTGGTAGACGAATTGTTACAGCGCATGGTTGCAACTGTCTCCAGTTTAATTCCAGCTGGTGACCTTTGTTGCAAATTACTCAACGTGTGTAAAAAAAAAAGAAAAGTCAGACGCAGACAGTTTTTTTCAACCAACTCGTGGAGGCGAGATTATTAAAGATGTTTTAAGAATTGCATTACAAGATTCCACCTATCATCACACAGGTGTAGGAAGAGTCACACACCACCTGAGAAACACCTGCGGTTGTGTGGCACTGGCATACAGAATACAGTTATTTTAAAAGGTGTATTGTGATATTCAGGGTAAAAGAACAAACTAAATCACAAGCCTAACCATGATGTCAGAGCCTATTCTACTTCCCGGCTCCCTCTACCTATAATAGCTTGTGCTAATGCCACTCCTGCCTGTCTCCGGAGAGAAGCGCTGCTCTTACTGTCACAATAATGCCAATTGACTGAGGTAACTGTCCACACAGTGCAGCAAGAGCCAATTGACTTCTGACCCACCCGTGTAACAAAGCAGTGCCTCCCAGTGTTTCTGAATCAATATGGCCGCTCCGCATCACAGCAGCGGTGCTCAGATTGGCTCCCCCTGTGCTGACCTTACCGAGAACCCGAGCGTACATCGACTGGTCGGAGAGGAGGAAATGGGCAAGTCCTGGTCCGTCTCCTGCAGCTAATGCTCAACACAGCCAAACACTCGCGGACTTAAGGGCAACTGAGAAACTTCCCATGAACTGATAATTGTTTTCAAAAGATACAAGCTGGGCACTATCTGACCTTCTGGATTTAGAAGATATTCACTCTGTGTCTTTACTTGCTTCTTGTGCCATCGTAATGTGTTGTAGCTTGGTTGGAAGTCAGAGTTTTGGGACTGCCTACTTTATGGTTACGTTAGGCAAATGTAAACATGGCCTCCTGTTGGACTAAATCACACATTGATGCAGCAGCAACAGAACGAAGAACGTGTTACACTACAGATCTGTAGGTTTGATTCTGCCCAAAAAGTATGATCGTCATCATCAGGAAGTGAAAAATCAAAACATATCAGTGACCAACGTTCAAACATATTCTTCCTCTTACAAACAAAAAGTTGAACTCACATGAAATAAAACACACCACTGCTCAATTCAGCACATTCAGGGGTTTAGCTGCTACAGACACTTAATACCCTGATATGAGTAGTAGCTTGTGGTGGCAAAGTTTAGATGGATATTTATGTATACTTTAAATTAATGAGTCAGTTTGCTGACCTTAGGGGTCTTTGCTACTATTGATGCTGACCCTTTATATTTTAAAAGGACTTAAAATACTGTACTTATGAGTTTCTTAACATTAAACAGCTTTTAAAAATGTGACTGATTTAAAAACACACTATAAAGCTGTGAACTGACCGAGCAGCGGCACTGCTTACCGTCCATTCATTGATAAAGCAAACTCCACGCCCTCCCTTTGGAAAGGCATCAGACGCTGCAGGAGCTTGTGAGGAAGGCCTGACAGTTGCTGTGACCATCTTGTATCACAGCAAGAGCTCTGTAGGCCATTATCATCCATTTCCATTAGTACGTCCTCATCAGTTTCTCGGCCCTCGCTCAGTCAGCCGGCTCTGATTTTAGGCTGGAAAAGAAAAACACAGTTAAACCGACACGTACATCTGAACGAGGCCCCATGTAGGCTAGAATTAGTCTGAATTGGTGAATATTAACTTCAGCATCTCTTAGACATTAAAGAGCACTTTTGCTTACTATGTGGACTGCTGATTTAAACATGTTTTATAACAACTGTGAGAAGCTTTCCTCTGCTGCCTACCAGCACTGACAGGTATTCCATTAATAGAAGCTGGATGCCGCAGTATAGTGGACAAAGAAAGTCAGAATTTTAGATGAGATGGTAAAAGTTGCCTGTGTCAGCCGCCCCCAGTTACAGGAACAGGATCTCTTTTTGTGTTGCCTCACTCACCTGGCACCGTCCTGGTTAATCCACACGGATGTTTCAGCCTTCACATGTAATTACAGTTATCAGGGAGTGCAACTTACACCAACAACAATGACTAAAACAGTAACAACTTCCCATAACGACAGTGTTAGACGTTATTGGAAATACTATTAAAACCTATTTTATGTATGTTTAATATTATGTAATCGGTTGCTGTTATTCCAAAAGAATGATGATCATTAGAGTAATTGCAGATTTCCACTCGTTCTTTGATGTTTCCATTAAAGGTCAGTCATTATTTTCACTTACTATAATGAAACCTTAATTACATGTGATTCATCTTCTGCCACTGAGACACAAAGTGTAGTAACTGTGTGCTCCTTGACACGTATTCAGTAATAACAACCAAATATTTCATCTGATGGTTCATTTTACACCAAAAGCACCTAAAATGCGTGGAGGAAAGAGATTTAGACCTGGAGGTCAGTATCCTGTTACATGTATTCAGTTTCAAATCACCATTCATGACTTTCCTTTCTTCATCAGCGATATATCAGAGCACCCAGAGAACAAGTTAGGTTAAGGGCTGACAACAACCCATTAATAAACATTAAATAAATACAATTAAATGTGTTCAGAACAAGTTAAGAGTTAATAATAACACCTACAGAAGTTAGAGCATCTTTAGCTTGAGCTAGCGTCACAGACCGGAAGTGCAGAGGCTTTTCCTACAGAAATAAAAGCACCACCATTTGGAAACAGACGCTCCCGTTCGTAAGCTATTTAGCTCTATTATTTTGAATATCGACACCGGATACGCATTTTTTTTTGTTTGTTTGTTTGTTTATGTTGCATTTGTTTGTTTATGTTACATTTTGACCCGGCTAAATGACTGCTTTAAGTGTGTAAATTAATGTTCATTGTTACGTTACGTGTGTTTACGTGTTAGCGGGAACACTGCAATGTGCTCCTCGTTGCTATGATACTGTGAGTCAGGAGCAGTGCACATAATGTGAACTGTTGAGTTAGCAGAGCGAAATAAGAGGAGATTAACGTTATTCGTGTTTTTGCAAGCGGAGTTTGCCTACCCGGTGTGATAGTGGAGCAAATCAAATGGTCTTTGAAGAAGTGAAACACTGAAAAGTTTCGCGGTAAACTCGAGGTTCACTCGGTTTATATCACCGGGCATCCGCCGCACATGCTCTTTACTGAGCCTTAAAATCAACTCCCTGTCGCTTTAATGATCTAATTTAAACACAGCCAACACGACCCACCTAACAGTATAAAGACTTCACATCAGTGTTAAAGTATATGTGAGGAAAAATGACAAGGATATGTGAGGAAAATGACGGAACTGTCAGACAAACTCCGTGCAAACGCCAAAAAAAAAAAAAACCCCAGCAACGACAAGACGTGACATATTTCCAACGCCCTACGTGTGTAACGTAAGGCGCTGACGCACTCTCCCCCTGCCCGCCGCACTCCGCCGCTTCTCCTTCACTCTCCGCCGCAAACACTAGCTCCTCCACCTCCGGTAGAGACTACGGCTGTGCACCGATTGTAACCCAAAGCGGTAAGGCAACGTTACATATCTGCGGCATCGTGTCCCGGCTGTTACCGGGCAGTCGCGAGCACGTAACGCGGGTTATTTAGCGGCAAACGCGTCTCTTGCTGGCGCGTGACAGCGCCGGTGTTTGGCCGTTTTCAGCCGTTAGCAATCCTCAACGTCAGGTAATAACCGTTAGCCTAGCCGCGAGACGGTCCAACGCCAGACGTTGCTTACAACGTCGCCCTGCTCGTCGGCCGATGTACACACCCCGCAAACAAACACCGTGTTCAAATTGTAAGCGGCCGGGCTTCAATTCGGCGTTTGTCCGAAGAACCAAACAGCAGCGGTTTTAAAACTGCAGCTTAATTCAGTAACTTTCAGGCCTGGTTCGGCTGTTTGTCTCCCAGTCAGATGCCGCAACGCACAGTGTGTACTTGTTAGCCGTCTCCATAAACTGAGCTCCAGCTGGATTGTTTCGCTGCTTGGTGAAATGTCTTACCGGCCGAATTTTAGTTAAATGTGTGAATTGTCTAATCTGAATGTCACACGTTGTTCGGGGTTTGTGGGTTTGTCGATATGGAGGAAACGTTAAAATTGCCCGATTTGTAACGGAGTCTGGCGAACGTAAACTACCTATCAACGACGGCATTCAAGTGAAACGTATCGGACTCACGATTAATCAAAACAAATGCGTTTACTGGCGATTTACACCGTTAACCTGTGCCATAATCCGAAACACGGTCTCTTGTCTGTATGATCGATACATGATTGGCAATGAGACGAAACACACGCTAATCGGTAAAGCCCACGTATTGATAAATGACAAATAACGTGGCGCAGTTACCTTTAAACTACCAGAGTTATCAGAGTGAGGACAGTGGGGTTGAATGTATTTAATATCACAAATAAAATGAATTAACGCCAATCACTTTGAGTGAAATTAATTCTGCAACAAACTAAATGTGAATTAAATGAATGAGTGAAGCAGTGTGGCTTTGCACACAGCTTTACGTTGAGTGTTGATGAATAGATTATTAAAAAGCCTTCTTATTTCAGAGCGAACATTGACACATGAACACAGTTGTTTGGTACAACTCCAGTAAAAGGCCATAAATTCAACATCTAATAACTCCTTTTACTCCTCGTTAATAAATAACCCATACCCACTACGACTCCGATGCACAAACCGAGGCAATTATCGCCTCTACACTTGGTGTGAGATGGACAGAGGTGGCAGTGGGAGCTCACCAGTTGCCACCAGTGAGTCTGAGCTGATGGTTTTCATTGAGGAACCAGCGGAGAGCAGCTGCTGGTTCAGGTCCTCGTGGCTGCTGTTTTCAGAGAGCAAGCGGAGATGATGTGTTCATCTGTTCACGTGTGCTGCATGTATACCGTGTGTGTACTAAAACGTATTAATTTGGGGGATTGTGAGGGTGTTTATTCAGCCGCTGAGACGCTCTCTTGGGATTCACACGGCCCTCCGAGGCTCAAAATAAATGCTAGTGATTGTTTGTTTCACCTGTGTTGACCGTTCATTACGCAGGGTTGGGCCGTGTTTGGAGCTGATGACATTATCAGATATTGAGGTTGAGTGCGCCGTGTAATAAAGACTAAATAATTCATCGCCTTCCAGGGGGGGAAAATCTTTTCTTTCCTATAATATTTTTGGTCCGGGCCGTTAAATAATTCATCCGCCTGTCCATAAATTGTTTGTTCGCTCGGTGACCTTTTCACGGGATTAAGGAAGCACAATAATACATTCTTCAGAGACCTGGCATAACGAATGGTACAATTATGAGTCAGTATTGGATCGGATCGGTTGTCGCAGCCTGGTGTTGGTTGCTAAGTGACAGCAGGAACTTTTTCCGCCCACTGTGTTTGCTGTTAAAGTCTGAGCGACTGAAAGGACAAAAACAATCACATTATGGCAGTCTAGACTCGGACCTGTTTGCCTGTCAGTCACTCGGTGACGAGCCCTGTCTTGTAGAGCGCAGACAGAATACTTTAAATGAAAGAAACCAGCGATCTCTCATTAAACCCTCCGGTGTTTTATGAGTAGTGGGTGGTGTTTCAGGTGGAGGCTCTCTCTCTCTCTCTTGAGTCGGTGGGATTAGCCGTACTTGTCTTCTTGTGTGAAAACAGGGAGCCAGCTTTGAACGGGAAGGTAGCCCAGCGAACAGCTCGGCCTCTCAGCGGCCGCCGCCTCCCCGCCGCCTCTCCACCTGGTCTTTGAGCACCTAGCTGGCCACAGACGTGTCGATCCTGTCCCCCTTTCCTCT